AGTGAAACTCCATCTGACTCATCACAATCTGCCGCTGTAACACATTTGATGTTGGAAGTAAATGACTCTGATCTTTGCTGTGGCGGGTTGTTCCGATTCCTTCGCTGCAGCTCCACGAGGCTTCCATCCTTTCTATAGCTCCTTCATAGCTCCTCTCCCTTGCATCTCTCATCAGTGCATTGAGATGCAAACCTAATGACAATGTGGTATTTTTGGTTACGCTATTAACCGTCTCTATTGTATAATTAAACAGATGGAAATGTGCACAAGTGTAGAAAATATGCCGACATGCACACAGGCCCTTAGACAACAGATACTCTGCAGCGGCTTCAGTGTTTCTCATTGAGAAGCAGAATTAATGACCTGTACCGTTTCTAATGCTGGAGCCTCGAGACATTATCATTTGATCCTCTGGGAGAATTCATGAAGCCCACACGTGCATGCAAGACATTATAGTTGGAGCTGCCTTCTATGGTTCATCCCATACAGCTCGCATGTTGCTCACGCTGTACAGGAAATCATGTTTTCTTCCTTTTACTTCTTTTATTTTGCCGTATTGATAGAAAAAGGACAAGTTGATTTATAATTGTGTGGATGTGATTTAAAATTTAAAAAAACCTCAAATAAAAAGGCTGTTCCATGCTTTACGTGTTGAATGTTGCTGCTGCTGCTTTCAAAATGTGCTCCGGGGAATTAGACTGCAGAGAAAAGAAACTTGTTTGGTTGCTGAGCTGCATTGTGTCGGATCGAATGGAAAAGATTTCGATTTATTTTCTGACCTCCTGTGGTGCTGCAGTGGTTACGGTGTATACTCCAGGGTTTGGCCAGTGAGGTCATGTCTGCACATATGGTGACACTAGCAGCGCAACAGTCGTCTGCTGCAAACAAACAGTGCTGCCTCATTCTGTCGTTCAGAGAGGTTTTTTGGAAATGTGGTCATTTAGATGTTGATAAAAGTTCATCTCAGCACCAATAATAACTCCTGTACTCTCGACTGGGTTCTGGAAGTTTCAGACCCGCTGCCTCTGAGCCCCTTTTGCTTCCAACACAGAGGGGGGGAGAAGAACCAAAGGTGTTTATTTTGCCTTTTCTCCTGGTGCAGCGTGTATCCAAGAGTCAGGTGCTCGGTGTGACTTGTTTTGCTTTCACTTTGGTGAGCTGTGAGAAACATTGGCATCACGTCAAGTCGTACACTCTCGGGGCTGAATCAACACTGATGATGTGTGTTCATGCTCTGCAGATTTAAACATGACAGCTACCGAGGAATAGAAAACACCGGGATCTTGTTTGTATTCGAGTTCGGGGCCTGGATCCATCTTGCGTCCTTTACTTTTTTTTTTTTCTTTCTGTCATATTTTGGTCACGCTTCAAGCTCTTCTGTCAGAATCCTCCTGCAGCCTCCTGTGTTATTTATGTACTGATTCACCAAGCTCTGATCTCGCTCCCCTCATACCTTGTTTTATACCTCATTTCTCCCCGTAGTCACTTGTAATCACCTTGTCGTTACTTCAGTGCAGAAGGTCTCGCTAATTAGTCCAATCATTGCTATAATTACAGATCACGGAGGCATGATTGGGAAGGTTAGACAAGGTTAGGCTCCTTCAGCCAGGATGAATAAGTGATTATTCTCGCCGAGTCTAGAAACAGGGAAGAGGTGCCACAAGTTCTTGGCAGAGTTTCTGTCGCTGGTTAAATCGCGTGTGTGCGTGTGTGTGAGAATTTCTGTGTGCCCCGATATAAACTTATATATGCTGCTATCAGTTGTTTACACATTTAACCCTGCGTGTGTGTTTTACTCATTCAAACTCACAAGTTGCAGTTTCGGTCTCTTCTCAAATCACTCATCAGGGACGCGATACTCAATCGCAGGAGCCTCGGAAAGTGTTTCTGGTTAGTTTCCGGTGTGGACGTGTTTTCATGCAGACCTTTATGGAAGAGAAGCTTCCATCTCTCACGCACTCGCAGCTTCTCTTAGCTTCTTCTTAGGTGAGCGTTTGATCGCTGGAGCTGAGGGCGCGCACTCTCTCGCCTCTGGTGTCTGACTAGCAAAGCAGGAAAGGTCACAAATTTTTTTTTTAAAGCTTTTCCTCCCACAGCGTTCAGAAAGGTTGAGTGGATCGGAAGATGCATTTTTCACCTGGAAATGAGTTGTTGGTCTGAGTCGCACTGTGTGTGATTTGACGCCTCACCGAGCAACTGCGTCAGTTCTTGTATAACAGATAATGGAACGGAACTGCATGGACTTTTTGATGAGCCCTTTGCTGTTACCAAATCACTTTTGCTGCACAGCGTGAGTCATTCCCGAGCCCATCCAGCTTTAGGTTGTGTTGCTGTGCAGTTTGTGAAAATGCAGATACGCACACACACACACACACACACACACACACAGAGACAAATAAAAGATTGTTAAAATTTAAGACGCTGTGGTGGAGTCATGCCCAGCTTCAGATTGTGTTATCTACGGAGCAGAGCCATTCGCATTGAGCGCATAACAAACTGTAATTGCTCAGCGTTGCGTGAGGATTTCCGTCTTTCTTTTATTGCGCTTTAAAAAGATTGAGCATCCCATTGTTGCGTGTAAGTTGTGGCTCTCCGTAGAGCAGTTTCCCCCCAATTTTGTCCCCATCTTTGTAAATCCCACTCCGTCACTTACTGTAGCAACAGTAACAACTTGTATAATCAGCAGCGGGCTTCGTGCCACTCTCATAAAAATGCATAGTTCCGGAGAGATGGATCAGCACAGAGTTAGAGAAAGCAAAGGACATGGAAGACTCCATCCGTCACCCACATCATTGTGTTTTAGCCTTGAATCTCATTTATCACGCGAGATGCTAAATTGGATTTTGTGCTCATAAGGGGCTTTATTGTTGAGTTGTAATAAAGTTATGTTTAAAACACTGTGCCTGGGTCCTTCCCAGGAGTTTACTGTATTCTGTAATCAAGTATCAAGTCACTGTCCCACGAACATTAAGGAGATTGTTGTGTTTGCTTTCTCATGAGGGTTGGCTGATTAGTAAAGTTTGAGTTCTGAGGAAGTAGAAGTCCTTTTTAAATATCTGCACAAAAAAAAAAGTATTTCCAAATACCTGGACGTGAAACATTTTCCATCTGAATCTGTACTCAGCAGCTTGTTTCTTGGTTAAAGGCAAAATCACTTGTGTTCATTAAACATTAAAGAAAGAAGCAAGCATAGATTCTTACACTTCAGCAGGAAGTAGTTTTACATTTGCCGATCTGGACTTTTAGAAAACAGAAATTTCTCAAAACCAACGTTGACTATCAACGTATTAGTTTAGCTTCATCAAATTCTGAACTCTGTTAAGTGGACTCTCCCCATGACTCAGTAACTGAGTTTCTGTTTTCAGACACGTTAGCCTACACAGTGAACAGACACAATTAAAGCCACACTTGAATGCCTCCCAAACTTTTTTTCTTTTTGCTCTTCATCTCTGCCCGAGGTGTTCTCCTTTGTGGCTGTCGCAGCTCTGCAGCTAACTAACTGGTTCCTGTTTTAATGAATGTGGATAATGGGCAGTCTGGTAAATAGCCATGATTGCTCTTATCTCCGGGGCTAATGATGTCTTGGGCTCTTTTCAATTAAGGTGGGAACAAGGTCACTTAAAGGTTTGCTTCATAGTCCAGACATTCAGCTTCATTAAAGCCTTAGTGTGTATTCATTAATGCTCCAGCCACAGGTCCCTGAAGCACATGCTCTACTCCGCTCTTTTTATCCTCTATAAACTAATTAACTTATTAATTCCACACAACAGTCCGGTCCTTGGGTCTTTGCTGCAGTGTCTCTCTTGGTCGTGGTTTTGGTTTATCTGTGCGGTCGCCAGAACAATCACAGCTGAGGTTGGAAACTTTAAGGGATCCTTTGTCTTTTAAAGCCACAAGGTTTGTTTTTCATTCGGCGCTTTATTCCCTGAAATACTTCAAGTGTGTCTCCATCATGCTTCTGTTGACAGAGGATTTAAGAGTAGAGACATGTGACAGAGGTGCAGCGCCCACTCCAGGAATATCATTCAAAAGAGCCTCATTTGCAGAACAGATTGCACAAAGAGATTCTGGTCCAGTGTTGCCAGCTGCCAGATAATCATTGTGTTTGTACGATGTAAAATAAAAAAGGCCCAAATTTCCAACTTTTGTTCATTTTGTGAAACTTATCTGGATTCTAAAATATGGACCAGGTCTGTGTTTGCACATTTCCTCTCACGTGGCGTCCTTCCAGCCGATCATGCTCGTGATGATGAACGTGAGTTGCTCAGCTCAGTTTGTTCCCTGCATACATCTAAAGCTCATACCCACGGTGTGATGCACCGAACCGTCGCTTTTGCTTTGGGTATGAACAAGAAGCTGCATTCCTGCTGTTGTTCCCATTTCATGTCTTGCGGGTAACGCTTCCTCTAGCGCCATGTTCGTTCTTTCTAATTCCATTTGACTGCAATAAGTTCATTTGTAGTCAGACAAAAAGAGGGAAAAAAGGCCTCAAGGTTGCTCATAACTCCGACTCGTTCTTCTCCCTGCACTGTTTCCAAGTGTGCAATTCACCAATGTGTCTCGGGCTCCATTTTTATCTGTCACATTCGTTTGCGGCTGATGGCCACCGATGCTCGGCTCATTAAGAATTCTCCCCCTCCTCCTCCTCCTCCTCCTCCTCCTCCTCCTCCTCCTCCTGCTGCTGCTGGTGCCACCGCTGGCACGTCTCCTTTTGAGCCGAGAGGCTGTGACTCTGACTCACGTTCGTCCTTGACTGACACCCCCCACCACCCTTTCTTTTTCTTTTCATGAGTTTGCCATTTATACTTCCTCTGATTTCTTTGGCTTCTTTATCAGAGCCCACGTATTGTTCTTTTCAATTTCTCCGTCATTTTGTCCTCATTTCGTCTCCGTGAATTGTTCCCTGATTCCCTCTGATGATAGTGGTTTTACTGTTTCTGACCATGTCTTTTCTCCTCCTCTCTCTCTCTCGCTCTCTCTCTCTCTCTCTCTCTGTGTAGGAGCTGGTGGGCAGTAACCCTCCGCAGAGGAACTGGAAGGGAATAGCGATCGCCCTTCTTGTCATTCTGGTCATCTGCTCGCTGATCGTCACCTCCGTCATCCTGTTGACACCAGGTACACGGCACAGGCTGGGGGGGGAGGGGCCACAACACCATGCATCGCTCTGTTTACACGGTGATTATTATGCACTGACATGCCCATTAGGTTTCGCAATCAATCCGGGCACGAACAATGCAAAGAGTAATGTCTGTCTCTGTCCTTGTGGGCTGGGCTCTCATGCAATATTTGCAGTGTCACCCACGGTAACGTCCCAGTTAACATGAGCACAGGGGATTTAGTGAAGGTCAGTTAACCTCATTGAAGAATCGCTTGTGCAACATTTCTTTCTTCATAAGTGCAGGTCTCATCTGCCATCGTGCACTCAGACCCTAAACTCTGCACCTTCTGGATTTCTCCTCTGTTATTTCAGGTTTAATTTCAAAATGACCTTCAGGCTTTCTGTTTGCAGAACTACATTAAAATTTAATCAGTAAGTCATCTGTTTATATTCAGGCTCATAAAAGTCCTTGGTATAGTTTTATTTGCTGCCAGAACCAAATCAGTCACCACAACTGCCAGTGAGTGAGCACGATAACTCACCGACAGAGACAGTAATCACTGTGCCCGTGTTTCTGATTTTCACAAAACAGCAGCTTTAGCCAGAATGACAGAGCTCGGTGGCAAAGCAGGGGGAAGAACTTTTCAAAACAAATCCAAGGTTGTGTTTTTCTACACAACCCTGAGAGATGTCGACAGGTGTCGGAGCAAAAGTGTCGCCGGCGTAGACCTCAGTGCAGCAGGTGTCAAAGCAGCGAGGCTCAAAACGCCTTGTCACCTCCTGGCCGCAACCCTTTTCCTGTCCTGTGGCGTTTGTTATGATGGACCTGAGCTGTTTAATGTGCCTTTCCTAAACAAGGCACACCAGCGGGAGTTGGGCGTCAAATGGAGGCGGGGCAGCTGGCGTCTGCAGGTTGAACCTCGCACTTATTTTTCCTGTTCGTGCATCAAATCGGAACAAGCCAAATCTTTGCCACAGCTCTGAGGTCTCGAGTAAAGTGCGGCGTTTTCCGAGGGAATGTGGTATTTTAGAAACATCTGGGACATAAAAAGTGTTTGGTTTGGATTAATTAGATGTGGTGAGCGGCTCAGATGAGCTTCAGGATGTTGTCGCTCTATAAATCGTTCCTCAAGGTCGGTAGTTTGTTTGTGCAGAGTTTATTTTACCCTTTCTTAGGGTTGTTGTTTTCACGATGGACTGTTTGTTAAATCACCAGATTCTGCAAAGTCAAACTTGTATTTGTAGAGTTAAAGTAACAGTTCATCCTTGAGTACTCTCATTGTGTATAACCTTGGATGTCAGTGACACAAACATACAACAGATTATATGAAAACATTGCATCGTATTGAGTCGTGACAATACATTTTGAAAGAATATGAAATCTTCAAATGATTTAACCTTCAGTTTTTCAGTATTTCTTCAATTAGATAAATATTTGTTCCTTTAGTTTTGGTCTGTGTTTTTTTAATTTTTTATGATTAAGACTCGGTCCCTCGATGAAAGTGAATCTTAGCGAATGCTTCACCTGTTTGGAACAGAAACTCAAACCTCCGTCCTGTCAGAAGTTAGATGAGACACAGTTATCTCCTTCATGTCTGTAAATTAAACATGAAGCTACCAGTTCGCTCAGCCTGCATGAAAACTGGGAATGGGACTGTGATCTGGAAGTGTAGTGTTATTTGTTTCATTACTTCACTGGAGCTAAATTAGGATTAATATGGTGGTTATATCATTTACTTATCGTTACACTGATGTAGTGGATAGTTTCTTCAAGTAGTAGAAGATGATGTCATGGATATAGTTGGTTTTATACTCATTCATTGTGCTGCTTAAAGACGAGTATAGATAATTGAACATGTTCGACGAGGTTGTAAAAGCGTGAACGAATCCCCCGTCAGCCCTTGCAGACTTATGCACGTGTGTTCGATGTGGTCCGTTTATTTGAATATCCCGAAAGTTGTGTATTTGTTCAAAAGGTTTATATCACAATTTTTTTTCAACCTGTGTTTTTGGAGCTGCTGCATTTTTTTGGGGGGAAATACTCAGACATAGACGGAGCAGTGCTAAGTTTAATTTCCATCGAGAGAATACGGGTGGATATAAAAAAATAAATAAATTCAGCTTGCAGACACTTTCGGTGATGATCTCCTCAGATGCACGCTGTGGTTTTCTCTGGCTCCTGTCTATGGATACATCTCTTCTCCCCCTGAAGAGGAATTCCTTCTTGTACGATTGTGAACAAAAATAATGAGTGCGGAAGGAAGGCCTTGATTCTCCGGGACCACAATTACAGGCGTAGATTTCATATTCTCCACTTTTCTCTTCATAGTCGAAAAATGCTGTGTGATGAAAACCAAACAATGTTGCTGCTGTAAATCAGTCCGAGAATGTTTGGCCTCATATCTGTTTGAAAAGGAAGAACTTACAGAGCAGAAACGTCTCAGGGCTGCTGCGTCTCGTTGTTATGAATATTTCAGATAATAAAATACAAAACACAAAGATTAAGCTCGATTTAAAAAAGCATCCTTTGCTCTGCGTTTGAGAAAAATAACTCAAGGGCTTAATTACACACAAATTAGTGCAAGGGTTTTTTAAATGCTACATCCAGCAGTCACTCACAACAACTCATTTTACTCTAATTACACTGTGAGGAGAAATATTTTGGCAACTCGTGCCCCCACACACAAACAGCAGCAGACTGCAGCAGTGCGGCTCGGCTGAGGAGATATGAGATGGCGTGTTGTTTCCACTCGGTTAGGAGGGTTTGTTGATGGATGTTCCTGCGCCAGACAGGCCGGCCACTTTCTAACTGCTCCTGACAACCACTTTGTTCTCGCAAAAAAAAAAACGTGTACACACAGACCAGCACGCACACCAGTCTTATTTTCCTTCTCTGACAAGCTGCGTCTGCTGTAACTGATGGCTACAGGTTTTCTAAGAGCTCGCTCTGTTCCAAACATCAGTACAACTAGGTCAGATGTTCAGTATCGGCAGCCGTTGTGTTCGTCATACTGAGGGATGTCAGAGTGACTGACAGTGATGAACTTAAACTGGGGGATGACACGCTCTGTTAATTTGGGGCAGGTGAACGCAAACATTCAGATTATTGCACGTAACCAGAATTCAGCTCCTTTAGTGGCATTCACTCAATCTGTGATTATCAGGATTATGCCTGTTGTAGGTTATATTCGGGGGGGGGGGGGCTGTGGCTCGTGGACTAATTGGAGGGTCTGTGGTCTAATTACAGACTCTTAATTATGCATGCTGAAGTGTCTTTGGGCAAGGCACTGACAGCATGTGTGTGAATGCCAGCTGTACTCATCGAGACTAGAAACACACTCTTAATAAATGCAATGCGTTTGCAGGAAGTTAACGTACAGTCCATGATCATACTCTGGATTATAATGCGGATTTAAATCCACTCTTTGACAGCTCCGAGATAATTTCTCTGTTCTCCGTGTCAGCGGGTGAACATCTGAATGAGAATGAAAGACTGAATAGATGCTTTTACCTTTTCTTTTGTCGTCAACACTTCAGACCTGGTGTGAACCTCAAATTATCTGTCAACCTGCCGGGTTCAACGTTGGATTGAAACTCTGCCATTGCTTCTCATTGAAAAGAGGTCGTGGTGCATTAGCATATAAACTGCTCACGTGAGCTGACCCTGCTGGGTCTGACTGTTCCTGGGTTTTTTTTTTCAGACTAATTCAAAGTTTCTTCCTGTGATCACAGCGACTGTGAGGGGGAGATAAAGAAAATGGATTTTGCCTTAAAGAGCTGAACAGAAAACGTATTTCTTAAACGTCCGCGTGTACAACTTCGTCTTTCCAGTAACTGCCTTTGTGTTCAGCCCATGAATCTGCCAATCAGGGCTGATTATAAATGCAGTATTTATCCCCTGTAAACCTCCACATCTGACGGAGGCCGCTCCATTACTTTTCCCCCCGCAGCCTATACACAGTCTGGTGACTCCGATAATCACACTGGAAACTCCAGCGATGCACCGAGCAGATGCCTTCAAAGGTGTTTTTGTCCCCCGTGATGAAATCGGAGAGGAAGTGAGGATCAGTCGATGTTTGTCCATCTGTTAGGCACAATATGACACACACACACACACACACACACACAAACACACACACACACACACACGCATCACTGACACTTGATGCAAGTCATTGTTTTGTTCTTGCAATTTTTAAAAACACTTTGATTCAGGGATGCAAAATCTATTTATTTTTTGGATTTAGCCAAAAACTAAAAGCTTTCTTCGCTGATGCATGTGACGGATATTTGCTCCGACGCCGCTCGTCTGATATTGACTCTGACAGGATGATGTGACAGGTGCAATTTATTATTATCGCCATCACTCAAAGAAGGAAGATTTCAGACGTCGTGTTTTTAATGAAAAAAGACCATTCTAATTAGAGCATCATATTTTTAATTCCAACAGCTGCCAGTTCTGTTCGGTTTCAAAACTCTTACATTAACCGTAACAAACCCTAATGAAACTCTCCCTACTCTTAAATTGCTACTAGCGATAAAAACGATGTAATCTGTTAGTCTGGGGCTTCCCTAGCTTAAATAAACATGGCTGTCCTTCTGCAAAGTCTGGGAAAAAAATCCTTCTGCAAACTTAAACGACTCAGTGGAGCGCAAATCTCCGCCAAGGTCCATCAGTCGCCTTAAACCAGTCAAGCTGCAACAAATTTCACACACTCATAGATATCAGATACATGAATTACTCCCTGGGAAAAACCATCACAACTTTTTTTTTTTTTTTTAAATGGCACGGTTAAAGAAATCCAGGTCCGCACCAAACTTTAATGGGTTCTTCTTTGAGCCGAGCCGCATCCCCATCCACCAAATATCGAGGAAGTTCATTCAGTTGTTTTTGCTTGAGTTACAGTCAAAGAGAGAAATGAACCAACAAACACACAGATGACAACAGAACCTCCTCGGTGGAGGAGCAATAAAGAATTAAATATATAAATAATTATAAATAAATAAATAGAGCTAATAAAGTGTCGAAGAGATGAGCTCCGTGATGTGACGTTCCTGCGTGAACTGGAAAATGAGAAGCAGCTAATTAGGCAGTGATTTAAAAGATAATTATGATATTCTCTTAATATGAATTTTAATTAAACACAAACATTCCAGCTTCTAAAATGTGAGATTTTAATGCTTTCCTATGCAGAATGAAGTGAAGAATCTGCCTTTTTTTTTTTTTTTTATGTGGATGTCCAATCAGTGCTGATGGTAACTGTAGTCAAAATGAAAGCATTAGATTCCACGGCGTGCTCCGTGCTCAGTCAGACGGAGTGAGCTGATGTTCAGACGAAAACAAGTCACTCACAAACGCTCTGGGAATGTGCTCTGGGAAATGCTTGTCAGACATTTTCATGTTTAAATGATTAATCAGTTCTATTCAAATGTTTTTAAATCTGTGTGGATCTCGTTCTCCGTGATCTGTCGTTGAATCATGAATTTTGCTCTTTGGTTTGGATGATGCGTGATCTCAGACGCCTCTGATCGCAAACAGTCGTTGAGGTTTCACACTGATTCATTAAAACTCTGCGTGATGCGACAGGAGGAAGATGTTTAGTTTTACTCCGTGGTACCCCTGACTCTTTTTTTTTTAAACTCCTCTTCCTCCTTCTCCTCCTCTTCTCATTTTGAAGATGATTTCTCCGACAGCTGCTACTCCGGCATCGAAGTGTCGGAGAAAAGAATTAGAGGATGTTATAACGGGAAACATTTTTCTTGGTGCTGTAGCAGATGAAAGTCGCAGAACATAAGACGTTGATGAATCCTGGTTTGAAAATGTCTTCTGATTTAATTATAGAGTGGTTTTAAATAGATATAGTTTAACTGTTCGTCTTTGACCGCTGCTACACTGAAAGATCTTCAAGCTTAAAGTGACTGTGTCGTGTTTTTACATGATTCACTACAGTTACATCTACTTGACATCACTTCTAGTTTAGTTATTTATCTTTTGATCCTTCAGGTGCATCCACATACGTCCCTCCCATTCATGTGAACATGTTAATTTAGATTTTGGAGGTCAGAGGTCAAAAGTCCTTTCATTAGCTTACATCTGTCACAAACATCCACTTGGACTCAGGAATGACCTCAACGAAAAGCTTTTTATTTTATTTATTTGCCCCGTGAACGTTTTATCTTCGGAGCGCTTTGAGAGAATCCTTTCAAAATGTGGCACAAGTGTTCACTTCAACTCACAGATTAACTGATTAGATTTCAGTGGTCAACGGTCAAACGGGAAGTTGTCCTCACAAATCTTGTTTTTTGAACTTTTGAGGAGTTCTCTCCAGTTTCTTTGGACTCAGAGATGAACTGAATAGATTCACGGGTCAAAGGTCACAGCGACCTCATATGAGTCTGGATAAAAAAAGTGTATGTAGACTGAAACCGTCTTTTCTTACTGCGAGTGAACTGTTTCCATTTTAAAGATGAGTCAGAAGCACAGTTCATTGTAAAGTGCCGACCTTACACTGTGCTCCTCGATAGTGCCGTGCAAATAAAACGAAATTGAATTGAACTACATAACCAGGTAATGACACCACGAGCTTATCATAGCTTTTATAAAAGTCACGCTGAAAGAATCTGAAAAACCTTTTTCTGGGAATCTAAAGAGCTGCGGGATTTTTTTTTTCTTTAAATGCGTCGGCTGTTATTTGTAGTGCATGTAAATCATCGCCAGCTAAAACATGTAAAATGGGCTGTGATTGTTCAGCAGCACCGCTGAACGTACGCAGCGGGTCATGCAGCCTTATGGATCCTCAAACTCGCCTAAAAGCTTTTTTTTTTCATTTTTTCAAGGCCTCAATCGACGTTGTCAGTTCCACATAATGGTCAATCTGCTGATAGCTTTGGCTTTGCAACGCTCCGAAGTAAAGAGTTTGAAAGAAACACTCAGTCCTGCTCTTTCTTTTGTTGAACGCTGTTTCTTGGAGTCGAGCATGTTCGCTCTCTCTCGCGTCCACATTTCTGTGCTGTGGCTTTAAAACTTTGAAAATGGGATTCTTCTTCCTACACCAAGTCTGTGATGATGATCATGGGAACGTTCCTCTTTCTGAAAAACTATTTCAACATATTTCTCTCACTTTAGTTTCTTTGTTATTCTGTCCCTAAAAGAATGCGATGTGCTTCATGACCTGACCTTGTTACTCCTGCCTTTTCTCACTCGTGTAAATTCGGTTTTGTTTTCGCGGATGCAGGTAATAACCTCTTGCGGTAAGGTGCGTCGTGGCTTTATACTCTCACTGTACTGTTTGAAATGTTGAATAGGTGGTGAAGGTTGCTATTGGTGATTTGAGGACTGAGGCATAAATAAACCCAAAGAACAGATTTCGAGTTCACGTCTGACTTTTCAAACCCAAACAAAACCACCAATTAAAGAGAAGTTGCTCCTTTCACGTCACTTCAAACTGGACTCTGCCATCTGGGTTTATTCACAGGGACGGACTCTCGTGCACTAATATGCATGAAGTATGTCCTCATGCAGTTCAGTTCTATATCTTCAGATTGAGATAGTTGTTGGTATCTGTATTCGTGTTTAAAATCGTGTGTATTTGTGACGTATACAAGATGGAAAGTCACTTTTTTCTATCATACTGCAACGAGACAAGTTTTAGAAAATGTTAGATTGGAAACATTAAAACTCTACAACCATTATTTTTCAGCCATAATGCAACGAGTGATTTAAAGGCAAACACCATTTCATTTTTTTTTTTTTTTTTGGTAATTTATTTCCTGTTTGTGTCAGGGAGATTTAAGCTTTCACTCTTAAGTCCTAAGATTGTTTTCATTGCAAAAAGAAATGAATTAAAAATAACGAATGAATAAAATAGCGCGTGTGTATATAACCTTTGAATAATTTAACTAGTTGCATCCATCTCAGTTTAAAAAGCAGAATTCTTATCTAACCCTGGAGGAGTGGGAGGTCTAAACAGACTAATGAACAGATGTGTGTTGTCGCCACGGCCACGGTCAGGGCTTGTTCAGTGTGCCACTGCCATCTGCACGTGCTGCCTCTCACACGGCTTGTAGCCATTATGAATATATGTATTTTGTTTTCGTCTGTTTGCTTGAATAGGAATTTAATAACCTCGGTTACCACAGAAATATTCCTGTTCCATCCTTTTCCTTTTCATTGCTCAGTTTTTTTATCCATATCCCCGTGTACTCGAAAGACAGAATGTTCTTTTGTAGTATTGTGGGTGATAAAATAGTAAATATGATCTCACACACAAAATGACGGATGAATGGGATAAACAGACGGATTAAACATCACACATTAGAAAAACAGTCCAAAAATATCACAGGTCTGATCCCTGTGGAAACCAGCGGGTGTCCATCAACCACTGTCTCGTCAGGGGTTTCCTGTGTCGGAGACCGAAACCATCAAAGTCGCTGTTGAAGCGACACAAAAAAATGTAACTTCAAATTGAGTTTGCTCGTCATGTATCTTGCTTTTTGCTTTCTATCCTCCAATAACGTGCGCGGAGGTGAGATGAGTCACATTACGGAGCAGGAGATGATGTGATGAGCATTGATGGATGAAATTAAGCTGAAATGAATTGCAGGATGCTTCAGCTGTAAATATGCACGTCTGCTGTGATGATCAGAAGACGCACGAGTCTTAATCAAAGGCCTCGGGGAGGTTACAGCGATGCTCTGCTTCTTTTCTATTTTTCATCTCTTTTTTATTTCTGTCTCAGCTCTTTATTCTTTGTGAGGTGAAGAGTCGTAACCTGCAGGAGAAACTTGTTAAGATGCAGCTGAAGATCAGAAGGTGTTGAGAGAACATTATAGATTCTCTCAGTTTTATCTTAACACCTTTTTTTTTTCTTTACGGCTCAGACCCACTATATATTTTTCAAACTTTATGGATGTACTTGCCATCCACAGAAGTTAGCAGAAGAAAAAGAAGAGGAAGCAGCTGCAGACGATATAACAATATATAAAATGATATAACGAAAAACCATAATGATGTTACAGCAGCAACGGCAAATATTAATGCTAACGCTAATATCGATGCAAATATAAATACGTTCAAATGTAGGCCTCAGTTTACATGGACATTATTACTTTCACCTAACATTATCGTCAAGTCGCTGAATTACATTTAAACGATGATTTATTTTAAATTGCAGAAAACGTCAAACTTGTGTTTGTGTTGCTCTCTGAGTTTCTGAAGTCGCCGCGCACAGAGTTGCTCAGTTCTCTCTTTGTTCCTTTGCAGGAGAGGACGACCGTCTGGCTCTCAAGGGCAAGGTGACGGTGGGAAACCTGTTCAGAAAAGACTTCAAGGTTCATGACCCCAACGCCAAATGGATAAGCAGTAAGTAGTCATCCTGTCGAACTGTAAAGATGGTACATGGAGCCATGTTTTAGTTTTCTCACTTGTGGGAAAAGTATTTCAGAGCTTGGATGAACTTAAGTTGTTCAAATTCACTCGGTGCATCTTAAAAATGATCCGATTGGACACTTGAAGTCCTCGTTACCTCTTCTGGACCAATCAGAGTCAAGAGGAGCGATGCTGAACAGTCAGAGAGAGAAGAGCTGTACTCTGAGGAGAGTTTGACATCAACAGTGTTTTAGATACACAGGAGCAGATGTAGCACAAACAAAGCAAAAAAAAAAAAAAAAGTGACAACACTAAGCTACAGAGCCAGCGTGTTCCAGCGCCTCAGGAAACAGCGAGCCGAGCTGCGTGAGGAATACATAGTGACCAAACACAAATAATACAGATCCAGTGACTCCAGAGTTCAGCTTCTAAAGCAGAAGCTATGATTTCAGCTGTTGCACTGAAAACAGTATGTAGATTTCTGCTTATTGCTTCACAACAAGTGGCAAAACTTCATCCATCACACCGGTGGGAGGACGCCACGTGGTTTACATCGGATTTTGACGCAATTTCTGAGTTTCGCAACACATTTCAGAGACAAGCTGATTTTTAGCTTTGTCTTGCATCGCTTGTTTTTTTACGAGGGGATGCAAGGACGGATCTGATGCTCGTTGGACGGTCGGACCGGTCGGCCTCCGTCAGGCCTGAAATGTCAAAACACAAGAGCAGGAAATGTATTTTATGGCCAGAAGCAACTGCACAAGAAGAAAGAAAAATATATCTGTCTTTTTCTGTCTGGCTGTTCTTACAGTACCCAGCATGTCGCTAAATCAGTTTTTAAAGTAATACATGTTCGTGTGTTACTTAAAATCTGTCCTTTTATTTGAACTTTACATTTTACACATTTTATTTTTAATCTATGTTATGTTATATATGTATGTGAAGCACTTTGAGCTGCATTTCTTGTATGAAAGGTTTTTTATTATTATTATAATATGATCAAGGCGGCATGTGTCTCACTCGGTAGCATTGTTAGCAAATAAACTGCGACTTCTTCTTTAAATAAAACCCAGAGCTGGTCTGGAGCAGCCGACACAGCGTACAGTGTGTGTCGAGCGTGTGTCGAGCGTGAGCAGGTAAATCCCGAGCTTTAGTTTTCCGTCTCTGACGATTCCCTCGTACAGTGTGAGGAGTCCCTCAGCGTTTGAGCGGCTTAATTCAACCTGCAGCTAACGTAACATTTACTAAAACAATCAGATTTGTTTGTTCTTCAATTTCTTCTTCTTTGTTTTTTTTTTTTGCACCATCTGTCTCCCGTGCTGTGTGTTTGTGTTTGTGTGTCCTTGCTGTGAGACATTCCTCCCTGCGACGTAATCCATATACTTCAATAGTCGCCCAATTACCTGTAACCACCACCCTCGTTTTTCTTTGATCAACGACTGTGTGTGGATGCTGCCGCCACACTATTCTTACAATGCATCACCATCAATTTCAGATTGCTTATTTCTTCAAATCTCGGGGCCGTGACAGTGTAAACACCAGCAGCTCCGCGGGGATCCGATGAGAGAAAATTCTACTCTTTATTTTGTATCAAGGTTAAAAAAAAACTAAACAACAGCGACTTGATCCAGACTCACACGTCTCAGCTGCAGTGAAGACGACGATCACGGCTCCGAGATGGGAGGGATATGTACAGCTGAAGGATTAATGAGGTGGATTTTGTCTCCTCTCTCGTGCCTGACGAAGCTGTCTCCTCCAATCACAGGAATCTAAGATGGCTCCTGGAAACGGCGCAGCTGTTAAAATCTCAGACTCAAATCCTGAAATTGAAAAAAAAACCTTCCCCTCTGTGATTGCTTCTAATCAGAAAGCTGAAAACCCGCATTTATTCCATTAGTGACGGGAAGATGAGGCTCCTCTGGATCTCGAGCCGAGGGACCGTGAGGCTGATTCCAGGGTTTGTGTTAGCGACGGGTCCCCATGTGTGCTAAAGGATGAGGCGTCACTCATGTGGCTGATTTTTTTGTCGTTTCAAGCTGTGACCCACAAAAGTTGTAAACAAATCGATCGCGCTTGAACGATCACGGGCAAACATCTCACACTGTGTTACCACTGTACACATCTGGAAGCCGACATCTGTTCTCCGCTGTTGCCGAACATTAATTAAAGACGCATTTCTCACAGAAAACGAGAGGTTGAATTATGTGAAATCATCGGAATTGGTTCAAATGAATCGTGCTTGTTTTCTTGCAAAATATTTTCTTAACCTGAGGGTGTAAATTCAAAATGCACAAAGAAAAGAAGGCCCCTGCAACAAAGGAGCTTTGTAAGAATCCATACATTCAGCAGCCAACGAGACTCGTCGTTAAAAAGCAGTCCGCTCTTTCATCTCCTCCTTTTTTGTGCCGTCCTTGATCTGGAGGTATCTTTTTTTTGTGAATCATTAGACGCGGCTGAGAAGGAGGAGGACGAAGAGGAGGACGAGGGAAAGACGGAGAGAGTTTATTATTTTGCCTTCGTTAGTTTGTCGTTTTTACTCGACCAGCAGCTGCACCGACCTGCATGCTTTAAGGACTGTAGGTTTTTCAACAATCGCTTCCTGGGAGTGGGGGGAGCGGTAATTGAATTTTCTTTTTGTCCAAACCTAATTGAATGTTTCCCCTGCCCAAGGTTCTCTCCACCTATCAATCAATTCCCTGGAGACTGACTGAATATAACCTCACAAATCCTTAATGATCATATATTAGGTTATTTTTACCAAGAAAAATTGCCTCCTCATGTCTTGTCGAACTGAATTAACGTCAATTTATTCTGCACGGATCATTCTAGGCTTTTTATCCTCTGCTCAGAAAGTTTACTTCTGCAGCCACTGCAATAATTAATTTAAAGAATAATATTGGTTTGGTGCAACTTTGGACTTTTGCCAGTCATCCTTATCAATATAAAGATTTTTATTTAGTGGCTCCCAATCAAATACAATTTTAAAAACTATTAGAAATGACGTATTTCCCTTGTAATTATTCTGATCTTGTTCTGACTCCATCACTTTAATTCTCACTGGTTATGTAATTGCACTGTTAGTAGACGCACACACGCCTGTTTTGACCCCTCTCCACTCCATCGGAATCAAACTGACGCAGCATCAACATCGTTCTCGCTCCACCAAGGTGAAGTTTTCCCCCGTGGGAAACGATCCAGGTGCTCCGATCAGCTGCTTGCGATCGTAATGGCCACATTCCTCTTGTTCGCCGCTCCTCGATGCCTTTCTCGTCTTGCTGGTGTTTGTTAAATTCGGCGAAAGGGGAGCCATTTGCGAAGCACTCGACCGCTTGGCACAATATGAAAGTGTTATCCTCGTGACTTTGGACGCGACTCGCGTGCAAGCTGCAGTTACCTCGTTTCCTAATGATGCACAACCTCTCGTCTTTAATGTTCGTGTGGAGCAATCACTTTGAGAAGATTAGTCAGTTGTCTCACTCCCTTATTGACTTTTCATGGCTCCGCTCCCGTGACACTACATGAGTTATGATGTGAATGTCATTTGTTTATGGAGTTCTGCGACGGCTCTTTATTTTACCAATGACACATCAAATTAGCCCGTTAAGTATCCAGTGTTCATTCTGTGTCACAGACAATCAGCCGGTGACATTATACGAGGCGGCAGGTGTAAATATCCTCTTCTGCAACCGCCCGGTTTCCTACGACATCAGTAGGAGACTTGATTTATTTTTTTTTTATCTGAAAAGACATTTTGTGGCACAAACTCAAATTTTTCCGTCTTTTTCAACCTCCACAGAGCGGCGGGAGCGGTGCGACGACTCGTCTTCTGACAGGAACAAGCTGTCACAATACACCGATGTTGTTCAGTATCTTAATCCCATCAGGGACGGGCGGGAGAGAAAAGCATCTGATGCAGAACTTAAGAGCAGAGGCAGACTTCCGAATTATTCGGTTGCTTCACTGCGTCTCCTGATAAATTCAGCAGTCTCTCAGCTCCTCGGCTGCGAACATCAAGCCAACATCTGAGGAGCTGGATATCGTCTTTGATCCAAATTTCCAGCAACAAAACTTGCGACGAAAGAAAAAAAAATATATACCATTCCTTTTTGTCCATCTTAAGAATACAAAAATGAGATTACTCCTTTCTTCCAGTGACAAAGAGAAGCTTTCATGATTCTCTGATCACTGCTCTAATTCTCACAACCTTCACCTTCACATCTGAAATGAAATGGAATAATTCACTGACGGATAATAAAAATGAAGTCGGACTTTCATATCATAACCCGCTATGAGCCGGAACTTGACCGAGACCTGAGCAGAAAGTATTTCTTTATAAGGTCCTGAGGTTATGAAATGTCCCGTTTGCTGTATTTTCTCGTTACTACAAAATCCTGGTGGTTCTTTTATTATGTCAACAAACTGAATCTACTAAAGTGTGATCGAATCAAGTTTACTAGCGGACTGCGATCCAGAGCCTGACCGATATTTTGGGTCCAATGTCTTCAGGGATAGGAGATTTTGATACTGATGGCCAATATCCCATATAAAGTACATATACTGCATTTTTGTAGAGATGATTGGTTTTTGCTTTAATGCTGTAAACTTTTATGAGCTGTACAAATTCATATAGGATCAAGATCATAACCTGGAGAGAAAACATGACCTTATAAAAAACCCTGAGGTTGTGAAACGTCTGCAAGGTGGAGGGAATGATTTTGTCGTTTCTACAAAATCTTTACTCATCGTGGCCGTTCTTTTATTTTCTTTATTTTTCTTTTATTACGTCGTCAAGCTGGACGGCTAACTGACGCTGCTAAAGTGTGATACAGGTAACAATACAGTTGTATTAGCAATATGTGAAGAAGCAGCAGATGAGAGGAAAAGTCAAATATAAAAAAAAGTAGATATTATTAAATCAAAAAGAAATATCGTAAATCAAGGAGAAGATGTGCTTGTTTCCGTGTTATATTCATGTATTCTGCATCTCGTCTCTA